CTGTTTTTTTAAGTAAACTCACTCTAAAAAGAGAAACGCACAGACTCGCATACACGCAACTTTCATCTCTCTCTCTCTCGCTCTCGCTCTCTCTCTCTCTCTCGAATTGGCAATATTTGAGAAAAGGGTTTAGCGATTTCTAATTATTGGGGGGACTAGCCCCCCTCAATGTCTACGGCGGTTATCGCCCTGATTAGACATGCAAATATGTTGTGGCACTATCGTGCAGTCTATAATGATATGACGTTAGTTAGCAAATATTAGCGATTTTTTGCAAACATTTCTTTGAGTAACATGACCGTAAATATGAACTCACGATTGAATGTAACATAAAACAAATGATTACTTTTCGTTAAAATCTTTATTAATGCCAAAAATACTTACATTTATGTGTCTTTTTGTTCGCTCGGGCAGCCATGTTGCCCCTGAAGCCAGTTTACGCTGAGATAATTCATACCCCTTTGTTTGAAGTGTGGTCCCGAAAAATCTTCGTTTGAAGGGATATCTGGGCCTTCCCCTACCCCTACCCCTCCAACCAAAAGAGAATCGAGACACCCCTACCCCTTCACGTGAACGCGCGAAACGGAGGGGTAGGGGAAAGGGGAAGGGCTAAGGGGTAGAATTGGGATTGGGCCTAAGTGGTTAAATGTACTTGCACCTTGGCTTTTATGCTTTTATGATGCGAGATTAATGTAAACAGCCCACTGTGAACACTCGTAATACGCTTCAACCTTTTCGAACTTTATGAATGATTATTATAAGTGGCGTGTGTGTAAGGAACTGAAAGCAAGCAGAGTACAGCTGTTTCTAAAGCACGCAGTGCCATCTGCTGTTAAAAACTAAGCTCAGAATCCATTCAAGAGAGAATAGCGATGCATTCGGAAAATCGCAGAATCGATTCCACAAATCAATTTATCGTGACACCCCTATTAAAATATCACCTTTTCAAAGGTAACATTGCTGATAAAAGTGTTACTTCTTAAAACAACCAGACAATTTTGAATGATTTTTTTACTGGGCAGAACAATATAATGGGCAAAACATTTCCACTTGAATACAACGCGGTTTGCGCTCTCTTGATTTCAGCCTTAGCAATGCCCTAGCAACTATCCACAACACCCTCACAATTGTTACTTGGCTGTTGATCAGAGTCAAACTATCAGCTCTCCTCTTGTGCTTTTCCCACCCTTTCTCTCACAGTATCATATTACTGACAGGGCGTGTCTCTCATTGCTCACTCAGTGCAAGTGATTCCAATGGAATGCTTATTGATCCCACATATGTCAACAGTGTACTAAGATCCCTTGACTCTTCATAGCAAACAAGTGTGTTCAATATGGCTTGTTGTTGAAAGCTTAATTTGAAACACTCTGCTATTTTTTCATGCTTTTTTGCACCGCATAAAAGTGACTTTCTCACGCTTTTAACAGAAGCTGGTCTCTCATGGAAATTGGCATATGGATCATTTGGGGTTACATCATGATGTCAGTAACCTTTCTGCGATGGAACTGATTTGTTTGTCAAGAACTGATTACAGAGAGCCTCCAAACAGACCCGTTTGTTTGTATAAAACTACAGTTCAAAGGCATTGTTTGAAAGGACAATGGACATGTTAAGACGAGATGTAGACACAATAATTACAAGGATTTCAGTAAAAAAAATTGTTTATGCCATGTTCAATACCTCTGAATATCAATCAATCTACACTCGTTTTACTTTCCCAGGCATTATGCATTGCTGTGTTTTTCATGTGTTAGGTGGAAAGAATTATGCTGTCAGGTCACAAGTACATTTACATTTTAAACACAATATTGCAAGTTCCGTTGTCTATTTTTGCTCCACCAAAATAGGTCAAAACAAAGTCAGAGAATCAACCATTGCATTTCCAAGCAACAAACAGAAGTGGTGTTTCATTCCTAAATGAATCAGTGTTTTAAAAGTGAGGAATTCACTAATGAAAACTTGTTTCATAGCAGACTGTATGAGTGTGTTTGAATGAATCAGTTCAGTGAATGATCTGATGACACAGTTATAAAGACAGTCACTTGTTTAGTTCCTGAATGAATCAGTTGAGTGAATAATTCAATGGTTCGCTAAAAAGACACTTGTCGCCACCTACTGGCGCGACGATGTTATCATACAGAAAGAGTCACTTAAAAATTGCACCATTGCACAGACAAGACAAGAGGAGAGATACAAACAGTGAAAAAAAGCCCTGTCAGACTGTATATCAGCACTCTTGGCACACCACACAGCCAATCAAATCTGAGTACTGTTGTGTTACTGTTAGCTGGTGTTTCTCATCATGACACATTCCAGCTCAGTTAAAGCCCACCACAGATGGACCGTGGCTTCTCGTTGGGCCCAGCCTGACTAGATGCTTCCCAAGCTAATAGTCCAAACTGCGGTCCATCTGCTAGCTAGACTTTTTGGCTTTGCCTCTGGTTCTACTCTTCCTCTCCCCCTCCTCCCTACTCTCTAAATTCCCTCAACAGTCTCTAACAGTAATAATATTTAGCTGTAGTGAGTCCAGAGCTGCAGTTTACTAACAAGGCTGGCACACAGCAGCGCCAGGCCCTGCACAAACACCCTGCATCCTGACTTCACACAGGGTTTCTTCCTCCTCTGTGCCCCTCTTCATAGCCGTCCTTTTTATTTTTACTTTACAGTCAACTGATCCTAAAGCTAGCTACCAGCTTACCCCAGAACACACAAAAGAGACCATAAATGGTCTCAGATCCCTCATATTTTGCTGATTACTTAATAAATAAACCAATCTTACGTATAATAGTATTCAAAGGCAACTGTTTTAAGCCTCAGGAAAAAACATGTTCCTCCTTAAAACATGTTCAGTTGATTTACAGAGTTGCCTTGTATATTAAAACTCAGTCGTCTTTTGAAGCAGCAACTGATGTTTTTCTCTATATTTGTGTTTTTCTTTTCCAGTGTGTCCAAAGGAGTGTGAGAAGAGGGCGTGCACGGAAAAGGGCAAGTGCTGTCACCCCCAGTGCCTTGGCAGCTGCACTGAACCAGACAATGATAAGGCATGTGCCGCCTGCCAGCATTACTTTCACGAGGACCGCTGCGTTGAGGCCTGCCCGCCGGGCACATACAAGTTTGAAGGTTGGCGCTGCATCACCATGGACATGTGTGCCCGTGTTCACCTACCCAGTGAGGTCGACTTTGTCATTCACAATGGAGAGTGTATGCCGGACTGCCCATCCGGATTCACCCGAAATGAGACTCAGAGGTATGCCGCCTGAGCTGGATGTAGGGGTGTCTCATTAGACACCAGTGTCAAGAGTGTTTCTTTATGATTTTGCTGTATTGTTATTGATAACTAAAACTCGAACTGACACTATTAAAATAGTTTTCCTTAACCCTCTAAGCGCCAAAGTCGCAAAATTGCGACAAGACGTCATACTTAATAAAATAGACAGTAGTTCCTAATATGGTGTAATATCTCAATTGTATTCCCTACCACTAGATGGCAGACATGTAGTACTTCGATTCTTATTTAAAAACATGCAAATAATTTCAAACATCAATTCAAGATCTACTATTTCCTGAATATTATGAAATTCAAGATGGCCTCCTCTGATGACGTCATAATATGCAAATTAGATGAGTATATTTACACCCCACATAAACTTTCGGTCATGCCCAACATTCTGAAATAAAGCTGAAATAAAATATAAATATTGGGTGAACATTTTTAATTTAAAAAACAAATGAAAATTAGAAATGATTATTTTGAATTTGGCATTTAACTGAAATAAAATAAGTTTAAGTATTACAATTACAAAAACTAAAACTGAAATAAACATCTATTTAGCTTAATTTAATGATAAATAGAAATATAAAAAACTAATCAAAATGACAAAAGCACATAATAAAATTACCACAGCTTTAAATTTAAAATTAAATATAAAAAATAAAAAAGCTCATTCAAAATATTAATAAATTATAAAAGATGTAACTCTAAAATAAGCTATCATTACTGCATACTAAATAATATATTCTTAACTATATACTAAATAAAAACTTAATTTTGTCATACGGATTAATATTTTTATTAATAAAATAATATTTATTTTAAAATGTTTTGTAAAACTAAACACTGTTATTGTGAAAAAAAGACATTCAAAATAACTGTATTACCAAAAAGTTTAGCAAATTTTTATTTTTAAATATGTCGCAAAATAGAGAACCAGTCACAAATAACAGTCGTTGGTTCATTTCGAGTCAGAAGTGGCTTGTGGTTCAGTAACCACTCTAACTTATTTAGTGAGTCATTTGAACGATTCAAAATAACAAAACATGCCCTTCGGAACACTTAATTCTGACTGGTTGATCACAGCATTCTGTGGTAAAATGTATTTGTGTAACTGCCGTCAGGGTTTATTTTGTGATAATGATCTAACCGCGCAATATCATCACAATATCATCACAACGTGATTTGCGAGATTAGATGAACATGTTCCTCTTGAATTCTCATTTATAAATCCAAAGCTAAAATGGGAAATGTTACCACAGAATTGGTCATAAACAACAGCCGCCCTGCCTGTTCTCTGTAGATAGTGGCTCCATTATTAACACCAAACCAAACCTGTGTACACTTTCTACAACCCTTTTATACACCATATGAACATCTTAATTGTTCTAAAGCTGTTATTTATGCTGCCATTAGGATTTATGTGCTAATTTGAAGGTTTAGATTGAGATTTATGATCTCAAAATTCAGGACTGTTTACTTTCAGGTGGCACATAACCATACTGGAAACCGTTTCTTGAGGTGAAATATGTGTTTAAACTGGGTAAAGGAGATTGTAATTACAACATCTTGGACTTTACTTGGACACCTGTACTTTTCAAGTAAAATATTAACAGAAAAATCACTTCATTTACTTTTCCATGTAACTTTTTACATGTTGAGCCTGTTTTGTAAATTGACCAGACCTGGTTTTGCCTCACTGCTGACTTAATGATCCTCCTTTCACATAAAACCCAGGGTTCAGGCGAGGACTCTGTTAAGCACAAAGACCTCATAAAGCAGTGACCTTGTATTTGTCAAAAACAGGCCTTAAATATGATTCATGTTTTGGCGAGACACAATAATCCTGTCACGGTTCACTGCCGTTTGCCTGTTTGGAGTCTGTGTGTGGCTGTGATCTGTCCTTGACGCTCACTCTCCCTTCTTCTCCCTCTCTCTCCCACCTGCAGTATGTTTTGTAGCGCATGTGACGGACTCTGCGATAAGGTCTGCGAATCTAAAACAATTGACTCGGTGGATGCTGCTCAGTCCCTGCAGGGCTGCACAGTCATCAAAGGCAACCTGCACATCAACATTCGGCGGGGCAGTAAGTACCCTCGCTCTCACCCTCCTCTCCCACAACCCGTAGTGATAAGGTGTTTCTCATTTCTAGACAAATTGCATCAATATTTGTGCCTCTCCCTATTTTTGTACAAATATGTGACCCTGGACTACAAAACCAACTACAAAAGTCATAAGGGTCAATTTTTTAAAAATATGCTTTCCATTGATGTATGGTTTGTTAGGATAGGACAATATTTGGCTGAGATACAACTATTTGAAAATCTGGAATCTGAGGGTGCAAAAAAATCAAAATATTGAGAAAATCACCTTTAAAGTTGTCCAAATGAATTCCTGAGCAATGCATATTACTAATCAAAAATTAAGTTTTGATATATTTACGGTAGGAAATTTACAAAAATATCTTTATGGAACATGATTTTTACTTAATATCCTAATGATTTTTGGTTTTAAAGAAAAATCGATAATTTTGACCCATACAATGTGCTATACCTGTGCTACTTATGATGGGTTTTGTGGTCGAGGGTGGTCGAGTTCCCACAGTCATGGAAAACCTGTCAGAGAATATTAGAATTGTGATTTACAACATGGGAATGTCATGAAAATTAGTAAAATATTAAAATGTCTAGTCAATTTTTATAGTAATTTTTTGTGCTCTGCTCTAAAATATTTAATTTGCTAGATTTTTTTATTATAAAACTTAATTGTGTTTGCACTAAAAACCATGTTACATTTTGTCATTGGTACATATTCTTTGAGTTTTGAAAAACTACGATTTTTTTTACTGGTTTCAAAGTTTACGTTAACTTAAAATATTAGTATTTTTAAGCTCTTGAAAGTATTTTTTTAACAGTGCTTTGGAACAATATTTAGTGTGAACATTTAAAGATAAAGTTGAAATGAAAAGTGTGTAAAACATACTTGTTTTACAGAAAATATTTTTTTAAATGTGTTTTCATTTAATATAATGACAATATAAAATCCAGTTAATTATTTAAAAAATGTGCACTAAATATATATCTGTTTTTCCAAAGACTGGTACCTGATGCACAAATTAAAATCACTTTGGGAAAATTTGGGGTCCTGAAAATTATTGGTCAAACACTGGGGGGACCATTTATTAACTGACATGTTTTTTCCTGGTGTGACACAATAAGGTTCATGTATTTTTTTGAGTATTAGCTGCTAAAGCTCTTAGTGGTTTGATATGGGACAGTTGCTGCCACACATGTATCACTCACACTGATGAAGTGATGAGTTAGTGCAGACACTGTGTGTCCTGTGGGATTTGGTTTGTGTTGCTCCAGTGTCATATCTCTTTCTCTCTGTCCGTCTGTCTCTCTTCTCACACTGTCTCTCTCGCTCTCTCTCTGTTTCCCCAGATAACATTGCATCAGAGCTGGAGAGTTTCATGGGCCTGATCCAGACAGTGACTGGATATGTAAAGATCAAACACTCTCACACTCTGGGCTCTCTGTCCTTCCTCAAGAGCCTGCGATACATTCATGGAGAAGAGCTCACAGAGCAGTAAGACTTTAAAGCACATAACGATTGTCATGGCATTTCGATGCTTGATTGTGTACAGAACAGAATTAGCCCGCAAAACAGGTCCTGTATGCATGCTATGTGTCTCATTGAACTCAGTTATTTGTTGGCCTGCTTAGAACTGTGTCAGAATCATTTGTGTCGTCTTAAATGGTATAACAGCCTGATTCCACTGATGTGGAGATAATTTCAGCTTAAAATTTCCTCAATGAGATGAGGGAAAAATATATGACTGATTCCTGTAAAAAAAAAAAAAAATAATTAAAGCTCTGTTTATTTAATCAAAAATCCAGTAAAAAAAAATAATATTGTTAAATATTATTACAATTAAAATAACTGTTTTCTATTTTATTCTATTTTAAAATGTAATTTGTTTCTGTGATGGCAAAGCTGAATTTTCAGCAACCATTATTCCAGTAGTGACTGGATATGTAAAGATCAAACACTCTCACACTCTGGGCTCTCTGTCCTTCCTCAAGAGCCTGCGATACATTCATGGAGAAGAGCTCACAGAGCAGTAAGACTTTAAAGCACATAACGATTGTCATGGCATTTCGATGCTTGATTGTGTACAGAACAGAATTAGCCCGCAAAACAGGTCCTGTATGCATGCTATGTGTCTCATTGAACTCAGTTATTTGTTGGCCTGCTTAGAACTGTGTCAGAATCATTTGTGTCGTCTTAAATGGTATAACAGCCTGATTCCACTGATGTGGAGATAATTTCAGCTTAAAATTTCCTCAATGAGATGAGGGAAAAATATATGACTGATTCCTGTAAAAAAAAAAAAATAATAATTAAAGCTCTGTTTATTTAATCAAAAATCCAGTAAAAAAAAATAATATTGTTAAATATTATTACAATTAAAATAACTGTTTTCTATTTTATTCTATTTTAAAATGTAATTTGTTTCTGTGATGGCAAAGCTGAATTTTCAGCAACCATTATTCCAGTTTTCAGTCACATGATCCTTCAAAAATCATTCTAATATTATGATTTGTTGCTGTTCAAAGATGATCAGAAGCGATCATGTTCTAAAACTCCAGCACGGTAGTCACGTTGCAACATAGTCTCATGTCTGGAACAAAAAGAAGAACATGAGTATTGCGTGCAGGACCCTGTGTCCTTCACAGTCCTCCGATTGTAACATATTTCTTCAAAGGTTTCCATAGGAATGGCTGAAAGTAATAAAATGTCAGCTTTAAAGGTAGGGTATGTAATTTTTCAAAAACACTTTAGAAAACTGATTCGGGCCGAATAGCAAAACAAACTTGTAGCCAATCAGCAATAAGGGGCGTGTCTACTCGTGATGTGGAGGAGAGAGCTTTCAGTGCATGGGACGGACATTAGCCGAGCGACAGAAAGATAGAGATGGCGGATAAAAAAACAAAAGAGGAAAACGTCTGCGGAACGATAAGGCAAGAAGTAGGACCCGTGTAAATATCGGATCAGCTTTCCAGCGCTGGAGAGAACTCAAGGAGCGGAGGCCTGCGATCGGACGCCGAGGTTGCTTTGTTTCTTCTCGATAGGTGAGTAACACCATGTCTACAACAGCTAAAGTCTGCCTAAACTGGATGCGATCAAACGACCGTTGAAAACCATTTGAAATTTGTGTCAGCACGTCATAAATAGAACCCGGCAGCAGTTTTCTGTCGGGGATTTGTTGCGCCGCGCCGCTCACGTCCGATGTAGACATGGTGTAACATTGGTTTTGCTTTGTTTCACAGAACTAATCGTTGCCTGGGTTGCGTACGTATATGTGGGGAGGAGCTATCAAAATAGGGGCAAGACCCTTTTGGGGTAGGGGCGTGTTTGTTTTGGTGATTTCAAATATCAACATTGGCTACCAGAAATCACTTACTCTGCCTTTAAAGAAATCCTTTATTTATAACATGTACATGAAAAATCTAAAAGATTAGACACAACTATGGGACACGGT